AATGACTTCCTCATTCAGAAAGTCAAAGTTCATAATCGTATACGAGTATGTGAGCTTAGATATATTTTGGATGTCTAGATTTTTAGTATCAAAGAATATCGTTTGTCTTTAGGTATTTGATGAGATTTTTAGAAAAAGTTTTTAAATTTATTTAAATGAACTTCAAAATAAAGTAAATTTAACTAAAGTCGCTATCAGACAATTCTCTACGATTTAGTAAAAAAATAATGCAAAGGTATGAGTAGTGTATTGAAATAGAATAGAAAATTGACATACTAAATGTACATAAAAACCGATATTTTTATATCGGTTTATGGTCTATGTAATATCTTTAAACGATTGGTGATAAACTTATAGACATATTGTATTAGAGCAAAAAAGGAAGACAACGAAATAGAGGTGAAATAAATTTCAACCCATTTTGACCAGGGAGTAATCCTCTTTTTAAATTGGGATTATTATTTACTGTGTCGTTTTCATTACGTGATATAATATATTTGTCAATAAGAATCAAACACATCAATGGTGTATTGTACCGAAAACATTAGCAGATTAAAAATAGAACTTTGCAACAAACAATGTCGATGTGAATGGCTGAGAAATGAAGGGAACTGTACTTTCCGCCTGTTTGGGAGAAAATGACTGCATCAATATTCAATTAGACACGTAAGGAGGTGGAATCGAAAATTTAAAATGCAAAATGTGCCTTTGTAGCGGCGCCGCGGCGCCAATTCGCAGTGTCTGAACAGTATAGATTTTCCCAGTAACTGAGAGGGAAGGAAGGTCACGGTTGCAAAGAGAGGCGATAATGGCAGAGTGCGGGAGCAACTCTGAATAAATCACGACAAGATTTTTTGAACTACTTCAGTAACATTGAACAGCCAATTAAATTTGTAAGAGGTATAAAAAAGCGTAGTGCTGAACCTTTCTCCTATATTTTAATTAAAAAATTAAACAGGTTGATTCAATATTAAATTAAGTTAAGAAAAGATACTCAATCAATTTTATATAATGATAAACAAAGTATTTTGTAGAAACCATGAAACTATTGAAGACATCCTTAAAGGTTCACATATAAAAGCTCGCAGAAAAAAATATTGGTAAACAGGATATTACAGTTTACTTATATTAAATATTTTTATAATAATTACGTGCTTAATTGGCATCTGTATAACTAGTTTTATCGTTAGAAATACAAGAACTTTTAGTAATGTTATTGCATTGAAATGTATGTTTCACTCATTAGTTGGCTCTAAACTAGAATACTGCAGCTCAGAAGATAAAACAACCAGAATTATAAGTAGAGAGCGGACAATGTGTGACTTTAACCCGAAGAATAGGTCAAATTTTGGTAGAGTTGTGTGTGCGTTCAAAAATGTATCGTGTATAAACTATGCAAAATATAATTATTATGTATAGCAAATATATCGTATTATCCTCGCGAAGATTTGTACCCTTTATTTAAAATCCATAAATCACGTGAACAGGTTAAATAACGAGAAAATAATTAAGTTAATTTAGTTCTAAAGAAATGAAATGACACTCGCGCCCATCTCTAGTCCATCCATCGACATCGGTTGCGTTTATCGAATTCCTATTGGTCAGAATTCGAATCTTAACTATAAATATTTTTAACATTTAATAATTTCATTAATAGACTGGTTTAACTTAAAAATAAAATAAATCTAAAATTCGCCTTTAAGAAACTTTTTTCATGTAAATAACTAAGTCTTTTGCATGATTAACCTCATTTTCTGCTGCACATAAATTCCTGGCTTTTTTGTTAGTACATCCCTGTTTAGCGCAATAAAATTTCACTGAATACAATCCTGACTTTCTATACCAAATGTGGGGGATTTACGTCATTCAAGGTCCCTGAAAACAGACATCAGTGATCAAAGGTGCCGACAACGAGATATAATTCTGGTTGTTTTATCTTCTGTGACTGCAGTCTTGTATGGTTCCCTTACTACCAGACACATACTAACAAGAATTGAACGTCGTTTTTTTTTAAATATTTAAGCTTTAGAATTGATGGTTATTATACAAATAGATATTTAGATTGTTTTAAAATGCAGTCTTTGCAGACTAGAAGAGTACTTAATAGTTTATCTTTCGTGTTTAAACTCTTTTATGCCAATGTCGACTCAATGTATCTACTGGTTTTTTTTCAGTATACAAGTTCCCAGACATAGTCCCGTGATTATTGCATGTGCTATTATCAGAATGCAAAAACCAATATACTTCTTAAATGTCTCATTTATAACATGGCAAATAATTATAATCTAATATAATCACAAATAAATATAGCACTGTGTGCTAGGGTTCTATAAATTTAGTCATAAACTCTTGGATTGTGATTTATATTTACATTTCTCGAACAATGCATTTAACATATCTTCATGACGGTTAAACAGAGAAACCTCATGTAAACGTGAAGTTCACTTAAGCGACACTTGTTCTTACCATAAATTCTACCAGTGGCTTATAGTACGATCTCCATTACAAAGTTTTTGAGTGAAATGGACATGTTTCCTATAGTAGGATCATATTCGATGCAAAGTAGAGCAAAAAGTTGTCGGTCTTTTATCAAAGGAAAATCGTGTCATTATTTTTAGAAGGCGTAAGATAAATCATTTCAAATTTAAAATGAAATTCAATGTAAAATCTGAAATTCCGCCGCATACGCACTGTGTGCTGGTAGTAGCTGTAGTCGCCCAGGTGCATCGAGTGTACGAACTGGTCGGTTATACGTCAAATACTAACCTGGCGAGCTTTGCCGTCAATTAGAGAGCGCTTCCAAAAAACAAGTAAACAACAGTGGCGCGTAAAATGTAGTACATATGTGGAACAAATTGGATTTATAATATATTAGATTTAAAATAAATAGTTTATGAGAATAAAGGAATTTTTGTAGGAACAAGGGTGCCAGACCTGAACTGATCCCCTCGTCCCTTCATAATGAATAAAGAAATTATTCAATTTGTAAAACCCTTAAAAGCGTACTTCATTGGTTTCCTTGACAGGCAATGATTTATTACTTTGCATCGAATATGATCCTACTATAGATATAGTACATTTGCGTCAGATTGTGCCAACTGTGATATAAAAATATGTGCAGAAATGCAGTTACCTACCTCATACTTTAAAGAATTCAAAATAAGCAAGGTTATATAGCAGCCAACTAAAATTTTATACCGTTTTCTGTATCTAGACAGCACCACTTTTCAACTTTTACACATGGTTATTAGTCGTACATACAAATGCTCTCCACAGAATGGGAGGCAAATGGTGAAGGGAATATTTAACAAATTTCTCAGATAATTTTATACACAAACATTGGTACACAACGAATGGGAAGGTAAAGAGGTGCCACGAATTAAAAACAAGATCATAGTGCAGCCAAAATTTCACAAAACATGGATTATGCATCAATGAAGTCCTTCAAGATATTAAAAGAAGAAAAAGAAGAAACCACTTGGCCCTTCATCTCAGCTGAAAATAAAAGTCTGTATTTGAGTTGGTAGAATCTTTGAATTTCAATTAAATTAAAAGGAGTGTAGAATATTATGCGATGAAAATAGAAATCAGAGTAATCATGAAATTGGTGTAGAGGACGATGATGAAGAAAAATATTCTGGCTGGAAAAATAGTAATAATAATAATAATAAGAAAATTATCGATGGGCTCATGTCTAAGTCTATACTAAATATATCAACATTTGTATCTTCTATGACAAGCTACCACGAGAACAATGAGTTTTGACGCTCATGTTAATCAGCATCTCTCCCATATGAAGGACAGATGGAGATTACGACAAATATTTTTGTATTTTTTATAATTTCAATATAATAAATTTGTATTTTCTTGAAAATATCGATTTATATAAAATTTATTTACCCTATCTCGCTTTTACATTAAAAAAAACAGAACGCTGTTCAATGTGTCACTGCTGTTAGAAATGAGAGAAAGAGTTTGTGGTGTGATAGAAAATAAAGAAAAATGAGAAAATACCTAATTTCGATGCTACTTAGTCTTATCTGACACTGACCAGTTTTAAAATTTATCTGATAATTGTAAACAACTAACATCATTAAAAATTAAGTCTTGAATTTTTAAAATAAAATTTTAATTTGTGTATATTTGCCTCACTAGTTGCTAAGGGTCACTTTATGATTTGTGAGGCATCTTAGCGGGACTCTTAAACAAAGATGTCTAAAAGTAATATTTTTAGTTTTTTTTTTATTATAAGCTTAATTTTATTATGGAAACACATTATTGTATACGAGTATAATAAAAGGTTATTGATGTGGCGAATAATTAACGGTACATTAAAGATAGTAGTATACATTTTTATATGAAGAAATTTTATGAAAGTGGTCTCCAGAACGTACAATAAGGTGTGTACAAAAAAATACTGATAAACTCATAACCCATCGGAATGGTAAAATACCTATGGACCGGTTCGAATACATTAAGAGTGAAAGGCATGTTTATGAGTAAGAAAATATTAATTGATGTGGTACTAAATAGAGAAAGGCCGAACAAAAACATACTGGTGAAATGAAAAAACATATGAAGAGTAAGTAATCAAATTAAGTTGCCATGGTAGTAATCAATATTTAATCAACAAACTTTTCCCTGTACATATATAGTGCGATTGCATATCTATACATCAACAAAATTAAAAAGGAATTGTTAATTGTTCTCAGAAATAATATCTAGATTAAATATTGTATATAGTTCCTTTAAAATTTCATTAATCTAGCTAACGCTTAATAACTTGTATGGTTGACACTAATACACGATGTGGGTAAAATTAACTCACCCGTGAAGCACTAATTTGTCCGTTAGATGGCTATACTATTCATGGTTTCACAACGTAAAATATAGATCAAGGTGCAATTAATGTTTTTGATTCCGACAATAAAGTGATTATGTATTTCAATAAATCAAATACAAATTTTTGACAATATGCTGGGTAGTAATAGATAGCTTACCTGGTACTGATGCCTTTGCATTTTGGATGGTCGATTATGGGATACCGCTGCTGATGCTGCAAAGGCGCCTGCGGCCTTACGCGACATACATTGCCCCATGGGACTTCACCTGTGTGCTGACCAACAAATCTGTCCAATCAAAAAGTATAATATTAATTAGTATTAAGAAATAAAAAAGGGTAAAAAAGATTTGAAAAAATCACCAAAATATAATAATTTTTTTCTGATTATAAAATTAAATACAGTCAGTCCCAATATTTGTTCTTTCAAGAAAATTATTGAAAATGTTTATACATTTAATCCAATAATAATATCGCAATCATTTAAGTTTTTCATTACATTCATCTAATTTAATGCTCCTCAAAAAAGAATAATAAGAAAAATTCAAGTCACAGATTGGGAGAAATATGAGATGAGTATATTTTTCTTTTTGTTGTGTGATCATTTTCAATAATTTTCATAAAACAGCATCATATTACAAGCTTCTGAGCTTTACAAACAATTTTTATTATCTCTGTAAATGCAAATATGAAACGAGTTGAGTTTAGTCAAATTGTCTTATTGTGATGAGGATCTGTGGAATTTTCATTTACAAGAAATATTGGGTCACTCTGTATTTCAAAGAGATTATCTGAAATATAAACATTTTAAATAATCTCATCTATTTATTATTGTTCCGAATTATTCCCCTTCCTGTAATCAAAACAAAATGTCGATATTTCAGCTAGAGGTTATGAAAGAGAAATGCATATAAAAGTAGGCAATCGTAAATCTAAAAGACCTGTCAAAACTCCGCCCTAAAAGCGTTTCTTAAGTGTTGCTCAAACTATAGCTATAAATGAACATGCGTTTTTAATCACATTAAAAATCTAGTAGAAGTAGCATGTACACATAGTTTCACAGTAAATATGTACAGGGTAGTCCACCGTAAGCGTTACCACCTATTTTCCATGTTTTTTAACATTGGGTTAAAAAATATAGGCCTAACATTGATTTTTATAGAAAACACTGTTTATTTTTGTACATTTGGATAGAATGCATTGAAATACGTACGGATATATGAACAAAAAATTGTACTATAACATTTGGAAGAACAGGACAAAGCAGAAAAGGAAATCTAAAAGATAAGACACAAAGGAGGAGTTTAGGACGCTATTTCGTCATCTTTAAATAGTCTCGATCACCTTGGTTAGATTTCAAAAGAGTAAAGGTGACTCAGAACAGATGATTAGCCGCCATTACAGGAAAACGGAAAGAACAAATACTACTTTTTTTACTAAAATAGTTTTTCGATATCCCTTCTCGTTCAAAAGACATGACAGGGTATATACAGAAGAATAAAATACTGCACCGATCAAGTCTGTTATTTATTTGTCAGCGTTGCTGTGGTAAAAAAATACTTTTAACGTTTGTATTAATTGCTGACATAAATCATCTCTCAACTGTTACCACCATTTTTTGAAATTATTTGTTGGTAAATTTACTACATTTAATAAAATAATTAATACTCATAATGAAAAAGTAGATAAGATTTTGATTTTGGGGAAGCTAGGAGAGATTCGAAATCTGCAATATGGCTTTATAAATGGTTTTTGTTAGTAATATACAGAGCCTTCATAAATGTTTACAAGCCACGTGAAGATTGGATATGTGACTTGAAATGAGAGGAGGTCATATAGAGAACAGATCGTAATATGTATGTACGAGTAGTATACCTCATTTTTTAAGTTTAGTTATTGTTATCATCACCTTTTGTTTTAACTGTATTAAAGAATTATCCTTTTATTTATTCTTAATGACATTTATGTACTTAAAACAACGAACATTCAATTATTTTCCTACGACTACTTGATCTTTGAAATACCACCGCTAATGTGATTATTAGGTGGTATTTCTTTTGAGATTGACGATATTGCTTATAACTTTTAAACTGGAAGAAATACAGAAAAATTTCTCTAATAAAAATTTATTAGAAAAAAGAGTTTTTTAACAATTTAAAAATTGGGTTTATTTCTGGAAAAAATATAATTGATGACGTCATTAGTCGTTTCTGTCAAATCCCAAAGATAACACTTTCGAATGAAAATGGAGCTTACCTTATCCCATGTAACACCACAGTAGGCCCATACTATCGAGTTTGAGACACCATGTACTTATCATATTGAACTTTTGAACGAAGAGGCTTCGAACTTTTTCAATAAATGCTGTTGGCCAAAAGATAGACCAATTGAGTGTGAAAATTATGAAGTTGGGTGGATATATGTAGTTAATAGAGATAGATTCGTGAGTGGATCTATGTAGTTAATACAGATAGATTCACGCAAATTCACAATTTGCGTCTATACACAGCTTATGCAATGTCTATTGTCTAAATTCCACATCACAACCAATAAGTCTTTATATTCGCACTTTTCTTGACTATTAATAAAAAGTTAGATTAGGTTAGGTCAGGTGTAAAACGTACGGAAAAACCTAATTCGTAAAAGTGATTAAATTAAACGCTACCTGAGGGTTGATTGACGCGTGCTGAGGAGAGATCTGAATTAACTAAAATCCTGCTGGATTTGTCAGGAATATTTCTTGTTCAATCAAGAAGCTGAAAATGATTTGATTAAACTTATCTCTGGCCTTCGTCACATAAGAAACTCGCAGGCGTGTACCAAAATGTCTAGCTATCAGTAGACGCTATTAACTTCATATCGCTCTAATTGTACGAGTAGTAAATCGTATACGAAATAATAAAAAGACATACATATTATTTTTTAAGAATTGAAAACACTGCTGATCTAATGATTCTGATAGATCACCACAATCAAAAATGATTATAAATGGTAAGATTATATTTTTAAGAAATTTTGCGAGGGGCGATCCGCTGATGTAATCTTCGCACGTTTACCCTGGAATCTTTATGTAATCTATGTAATCTACGTAATCTTATCTGTAATCTATGTAATCTATCTGTAATCTACGTAATCTTATCTGTAATCTTCGCTGTAATCTATGTAATCAGCTAATGAATTTCGTCGATGTAGTCGTTATACAACGCCCCCCCCCCCCCCTACCTCATTTTCCAAAGAATGCCACAGAAACCTCGACAGAAACCTATATGGTGCGATTGGTGTGTTCCGAAGGGCAATCCGCCAAGGAAAAAACAGACGAAGATTACAAAATTTCTGAAATCTCTTGTAATGTATCTGCAGATTTCAATATCAATTCAAAAAATATTACAAATTTCATATAAATAATCAAGATTACAACACATTTCAGGAGATTTCAGAGTTATTTTAGTAGATTTCAATGATTACTTAAGATTTCAATAGGATTATTAGAAATTAAAAGAATATTTCAAAATTTCTTAATAAGGTTTCAAGGAATACGGGAAGATTACAATAAGTTTTGAATGTCCATTTGAACAAAAATAATTGAATTAACTTCAAATGTCATTCATTTCATTCATTAACAGTAGTACTTTGATTAAGAATTTCCAGTATCAGGCATTTTTTGGGCAAAAATTGTAACATTCTGATTAAGTTTTTTGTTCGAATGAACGTTAAAAACATTTTGTCATGACAAAAATGATAATGCTATTTTGAAAGTAGGTAAGTATTTTCCCAAAAACTAATAAATAAAAAATATATTAAGCTTTTATTAATACTTGCATTTAATACTTTACTTGTATACAGTGTGTTTAAAAAAGACGCGGCAATATTTAAGGGAGTGATTGCTCAGGTCAGTTTATAAAAAAAGTCCTATAAACATAGGTCCGCAAACGCTTCGTTACCGATCTACAGAATGTGAAATTTCATTAAAAAACAGTAAAAATTAAACTTCTCTAAAACGCAGCCCCTAATACCTACTACAAACAACAGTATGTACCACATTTCAAAAATCAATCAAATTTGATAATTTGAATTTCTTTGTTCAATAATTTAAATTTCTCAATTAAAACAACATTGGGTTTAGGTGCGCAATAAAATGTTTTTTATTTTTTTACTCAATAACGGTGTGACGTACGGTGCGTATAATCTGAGGAAAGCTTTCTTCTTCATAATTGAACAAGGAATTAAAAAATTATATTTTTAGAAAAACCAGCGGGGTCCTATTTTTTTCATTAAAAATAGCTAGTCACTGGTAAGACTAAAAAATCGTTTTGTATTGCAAAGTACGCGTCTGCCATAGCTATTGACAGGCCTAAAATTTCATTATAATATCAAGAGGTTTTGGAGAAATTTAATTTTTACTGTTTTTTTAATGAAATTTCAACATTCTGTAGATCGGTAACGAAGCGTTTGCGGACGTATGTTTATAGGAACTTTTTTTTATAAAATGATCTGGGCAATCACCCCCTTAAATATTGCCGCGTCTTTTTTAAATACACTGTATACAGGTAAAGTATTAAATACAAGTGTTAATAAAAGCTTAAAATATTTCTTATTATTTATTTTTTGGGAAAATGTTTATTTTATGTTACTTCTATTTTTTTTATTTTTATTAGTTTATTGGATTATTATATTTTTATCTTTCAATAAAAATATATACTTACCTACTTTCAAAATGGCGTTATCATTTTTGTCATGACAAAAAGTTTTTAACGTTCATTCGAGCAAAAACTTAATCAGAATGTTACAATTTTTGCGTAAAAATGATACTGGAAATTCTTAATCAAAGCACTACTGTTAATGAATGAAATGAATGACAATTGAAGTTAATTCAATTATTTTTGTTCAAATGGACATTCAAAACTTATTGTAATCTTCCCGTATTCTTTGAAATATTATAAAGAAATTTTGAAATTTTCTTTTAATTTCGAATAATCTTTTTAATCGATATTGAAATCTGCAGATACGTTTTTTCCTTAACGGATCGCCCCTCGAAATTTTGTTTCTGTGTTATAAACATGTATTTATAAAAATATAAATTAAGAAACTAGAAATTCGTATAGAAATGTTTAATAACACTAAAACGTATTCACATTCCAGATTAAGTAGAAAATAGAAAAGCAAATATTTTACCTACATTTCCTATATGCTTAACACTAATTAGAAAAAAACTTCCATCATGGAAGTTATTACACTTGCATAACACATTATCATATTAAGTTCAGTGTTAAAGTTGTTTGTACAATGTAC